TTCCCACTGAGCAGGGAGCCCGATGCGGGGCTCCATCCCAGGACCCTGGGATCATGACCTGAGCTGAAGGCAGACGCTTAATGACTGAGTCACCCAGGCCCCCGGATTTGGCATTTAAAAGTAAGCTGTTTGACTTGAAAGCCTATGCCCTTATCCACCTCCACGCTCACAAGACCTAAAATTAATCAGCTAGTTCTGGTATTTCAAAGGGGATGAGTGCATTTATGTAAAAAGTTACTTATCTGTGATCGAGAACAACACCACCCAGTAGAACTTTCTGTGATGACGGAAACGTTCTTTACCTATGCTGTCTAACATGGTAGCCAAAACCCCCCAGGTGTTTATTGACCCCTTGAAATATGACTGAGAAACTGCACTTTTAAAATTTATTGAATGTGGCTGGTGCTACATTGAACAATGCAGTTCTAAAACTCCAAAAGTGTGAAGCACTTTAGTTAAGGCAGACATTGAAATAACGCATTACGTATACTGCAAGCCACTGGATAACTAATCAGGTAAGCACAGATACATTACAGTACTGAGGGGAACAGGACGACTTTGTATTTTCTAAAATCTAAGGAACTAAAATATATTTGGCCTCCCTTTATAGTAGGAACTTAAAATAGTCATCTCTGGCTGATTATAGAGGGAAAACGAATCCTAAAACTGCCTCCACATGCGGAAAGTGGAAAGACAACTTACATCCATGGTTCTCAAAGTGTGATCCCCAGATCACCTAAGAACTTTAGAAATGTAAATTCTCATGTACCGCCCTAGACCTAGGGACTCAGCAATCTGCATTTTATCAGGCCCTCCAGATGATTCTGAAAAATGCTAAAGTGTGAGAACCATTATATCAGGAAATTTGGGAGTAAATGGGAAGAAGCCAGAAACGTCCAATTCTGCTCCGACAGGTGTCAGAGTACTTTGAAAGAGAACAGCTGAAGGCAACAGGCTAGAGCTCGCCTTACTCTTACCATTTCCTTAATCACTTGAATTTCTTCACTTTTGACAAGTGGTTTCATATAATGGAAAAAGAACATGGTTAAGAATTCTGGTCCCAGCCACTGCTGTGTTGTGCTTCCGATAACAGGGGGCTCTGCCAAGGCGATGATTCTGAAGGAGGGGTGGACAGGAAAAATGGATCTAAAAGGGGAAAAACAAACAAACAAACAAACATAAACTTTCATATTAGAAATTAGGTCATGGTAGCTAAAGCCTAGGCAACGATAAGCCTACTGCTGTTAATATAGTCAAAGCTATTATCCAAAGAACAAGCCTTGAAAAAAATCAGGACGTCTTAAGAACTTATTATTAAAACAGAAAAAGAGGGGTGCCTGGGTGGCTCAGTCAGTTAAGGGTTCGACTTTTGATTTCAACTCAGGTCATGATCTCAGTGTCATGAGATCGAGTCCACATTGGGCTCTGTGCTGAGTGTGGAACCTGCTTGAGAGCCTCTCTCTCTCCTTCTCCCTCTGCACCTCCTCTGCCCGTAGAAGGCACCATAGCCCACTGCTAGTAGCTGTTAATTATGAGACCCTATGGTATCAGACTCACTGCATTCTCTCTCTCTCTCTCTCAAATGAATAAATAAATCTTTAAAAAAAAGAAAAAAGAATCATCTACTGCTAAAACATCATGTACTGTTTCCACTGATGATCTCCATCCCTGCACAAACCACTGTTCTGGATATGCTGTTATGCCTCCAATAAATTTTCTCCATAGTCCCTTGAAACAAAATTCCATCCAGTTCATATTCATTACATAGGTTCCTTTTCTTTATTCAAAATCCCCTCAAAATCTCCTGTCTTGCAAGGAACCCACTCTATGTCAATCATAGAAAGACCAAGGAGTATGATCCAGGATGTTCACTTCACAACACAGAAGATTTAAGCAGCATAAGGGGCTGGGTTAAATTTAAAATCTGGATTAACAAAAAGAATACTTAGGTCTTCAAAAGATAGAGAAAATTAAATGTTTATATAATTTACTCTTTTGTCATTTTATAGGAAATATTGTGATTTTTAAAGTGATCTCTTTTATAGATCTCTGCTAGGGAATCTAGGGATGTAAATATTCTAGGACACACAGAAGAATAAGGTAAGACTGCCCACCATTTGTGAAATGACTTGAGTATGTTTTGGAGAACAGACTAGACACCCCTTATAATCTATTCATGTGTGTGATAGTGTCAGTTTTTATTAATTGCACTCTAAACCGCAGTGGAAATATAACTTTAAAGGGTAATATCACCCTTGCTATAAGAAAGAAAAGATAAAATGCAAACACTTGCCAAGATCTTCACAAAAATAAAAATTTAGGTACATAACTGGCATTTCTCCAGAAATAGACTATTCATTGCCATTAACTATTATAATAGAACCCAACAGTTAAGTGATTAGGCAGCTAGAATATTAGGAGGTAGGATATGTGTGGAGAGGATTAGGTAAGTACTTGGAAGATTTAAGATAAGAAAATGCCCTCCCAATACAATAGGTAAGGCCACTGAGTCCCTGACTACATGATCTGTAATTTTAGAGGCCACACCATAATTTGCAAACCAGGGAAAAGCAGTTTTTAGAAATGGTCATATGAAAGGTCTAGAAGTATTCATAAAAGCTACCAGATATCGTTTCATTTTGCTAGGTAGGAAAAAAAAAATCCTTATTTACAGATATTCAAGCAGGGCATGGGAATGATCTATCCAAAGGAGTTGTTCTGGGAAAACAGGAAAGAATAACATGAGCAGAGTCAGAAAGTTCTGAGGATAGCATGATCATTGAGGACTGCCAGCAATGAGATAGTCACACAAGAGAATCTAGACACAGAAAATTCTGTGATCTAAAAGCTAAAAGAGAAGGTTTTTCCATTTTCCACTTCTGCCAAGTGGTTTGCCATATTCCAGAAAACTCAGCTCCATGGCCCAACAACAGATGTTGGATTCATCCTTGATCCTCCTCTTTCCTAGCTGGGACAAAAGAAGGTGGGAGAGACAGAGCTGCTTTTTTGTGATTTGACTGCACAAAATTAAATCTGCAGATGTAGTTTCTTATTCAAGATAATAAGGGATACTAAATCAGGGAAAAAACAAAGCCAAAATCCAACACGTAAGCCAAAAGAGGAAGTCCAATTTATATCCTTAAACCAAAAGATCAGGAAGCAGGTACCACAGCTGAGCTGTGAATTTAGGACTAGAAGAGCAATTAACATGAGAGCAAGCCATAGGAGAGCAAGCTAGGTGGCTTGAATTTAAATATGTGATGATCATTGCTTAGAACATCACTGTCTGTGGCTTGCTTTTTGGTATTGACTCTAGCAGGGTACCCGAGTAAGCGGGCCCAATTTAAAGAGGGCAGTTTCTGAGACAGCTGATGTGTCAGGGAGAGAAGTGTACACTGACTATAAAAACAGCCAGCAAACTACTGAATAACAGGATAAGGACCGTTGTGTTGCTAGGTCTCCCCCAAAGGCTTCCTTACATATAAATAGGTCATATGGAAAGTCATTTCCTGATGATGATAGGATCTCCACGTCTGAAAGTTGGAGAGCAGAGTACTCCTGAGGATCTGCCACGTACTTTCAGGTGATTTAACGTACTGGCGTGTAATACAAAGGTTGGATAAGTGGTAAACAGTTGAGAATTAGGAAACAAGAACAGTTAAAAGTTAAAACCAAGGTTAACTTTAATTTTACTAGAATTTAACAACAACGAATAACAAATGAAACTAAAGATATAGCTTAACTTCACATAAGTAAATATTTCATAAAGATTAAAGATTAAAAACGCAAAATGCTCTTTTTAAAAAAGATTTCAAAAATAAAAGTATTGAGGTCAGTATGTTTGTTTGGGGGCATTGAATATAAGTTTTAGAGAGTAAAGCACCTTCCACTGCTTCTCAGCAATAAAAAGGAATGAATTATTGATATACATAACATGAAAGATCTCAAAATAATTATGCTGAGTGAAAGAAGCCAGATCAAAAAAAGTATATACTGTGTAATCCCATATACATAAAGTTCTAGAAAATACAAAATGTATCAAGTAACTGGAAGCAGATTCCTAGGGGTGGGAGAGGAGGGTGACAAGGGTCGAGAGAGGGACTCCCCAGGGGTCTGAGTGCACTTTGGGGGGATGTCATAGATGTATTCATTATCTTGACTGTGATGATAGTTTCATAAGTATAAATGAATATCAAAAATTATGAAACTGTGCACTTTAAATATTCACAGTTTATTATACATCATTATACCTCAAAAAAGCTATTAGTAAAAGAAGAAAGACTTCAATAAAGTCCAATCTTTTGAAGGAAATTAGAGGGTAATTTTTGTCAAATGTGTCTATTAAGGAATTTGAAAGAGTAACACAGAAGGTTTTTATGAAGACATTAATCATAAGCCGAAGAGGATTTTGTAACTGGCCTTCTATACTATTACTAGCATTCCCATTCTGAACCTACAGGCTGTGCAGCCTGTATTTCACCTTTATTTCCTGTGCAATGTAGCAAACCGCATGGACACATTCCTTACTCACCCTTATACCACACAAGGTCTAGGGTGATACCTGGAAGAGAACAGATGCTAACTAAATAAATAAATGTATTGCTATGGTTAAGAGCCATCACTGCAAGAAACTTTTTGAAGACCTTTGATGGCAAGGACAAAAGAAAGTTAACTGATAAGAACTGGGAATAATGGTTTTTCACCCAAAAGCAGAGCAGCTAATATAATCTGGTCTTGCACGAGTACGTTAGAGAAGGTTCATCCTCTATCCAAAAGACAAAACCAAAACACACAATAATAATTAGACTCTTCATGGAGTTTGGAAAAAATGGTTCTTTTTCAAAATCAAAATTTCCTTAAGCCTCTTTGTTTTGAGAATCAAACACAAAGACTCAGGCATAAAATCTTGGATCTATCTTGAATTTTGTTAAAAACTTACATGGCCTAATTTCCTAGCATAAAGATGCTGAGGTTTCTGGGGAATGCAAGAGAGAATGCTCAGATCCTACTGTCTTCAAGCATAGGAGTAAGAATAAAAGGGTCCAGAGAAGCTAATCAATCAAGGATTATACCCGATGTCCAGTTATGGTTCACTACTGATCAAGAAAAACTGGGAGATTATAAACTGTTTTCAATATTCAATCACAATCAATACAAATAAAATATACAATAAAAATGTAAAAACATTAGAACATATATAATTATAACTGAGACTAGGCCACTAATCTCTATTGCTTCCCTGAGATAACCATAAGCTCTTTCTTGGCAAAATAAACAATTAGTAACGCACAGACTCTTGGCCCCCTCATCTATGCTCTGACCAACGGCCGGAAGGAACACATTTAGCAGCCTATAGTATTTGAACTCCCCTTTTCCCCAAAGAAGTTTTTCTCATCAAAGGAAGCAGTTCTATTTTGGTCGTTATTTCCTGTGAGAAATGCAGGCATGGTGTCTGGTGTGCATGGCCATCATACTATTTCTAACCACCATGTCCGCTGGATTCTTGGAGTCTTGCAACAAAAGAAAGAGTCACTAACATTTCTGACACCATATCTAAGGGCACATGAGCCATGTAATTACCTGCAAAGAATGCCTGCAGAGGGTTCTGATCAAGATAAAGGATCTTGGTGAAGAATTAAAATACAATGAAGGTCAGCAAAGGAGTCAAAAACAATTGTTTAGAAATTGGGTTTCACACTATGAAGCTGAAAGGCACCGTAGCCCACTTCTGGTAGCTGTTAATTATGAGACCCTATGGTATCAGACTGGTCATAAAAGGCGAACTATTCTTGTTACTAGGTTTATAAGAGTAAGCACTACTAGTTCAGAAGGTCATCTAAAACCAGATTAATAGATTACCTTTACCTTGAGTTTCCTAGAATTTATACAAGTTAAGATTTATTCACTGTTCAAACACACTAAGTGGTCTACTACATGTCAGGTATTGTGACATTCGAGACAAAGAGATGAAGTATAGAGCAACAATGTCCTGCAAATAGAGCAACAATGTCCTGCAACATTAAAGTCTTAAGTTCTGGGGGTGCCTGGGTGGCTCAGTTGTTAAGCGTCTGCCTTCGGCTCAGGTCATGGTCCCAGGGTCCTGGGATCGAGCCCCTCATCG